AGCCCACCTCCCGCGTCCCCTCCCCCCACCATGCATGAATTCATCCACCGGGCCTCTAGTTCTTAGATAAATAGAATAGGACATGGTGTCCTTGAAAGAGGACAGGCTATAACAACTGTAGAATGAATGAATGACTTGCAAAATTAGACCATGTGTTCTTTAAAAATGTAACACAAAAACATATACAAAAGTTTTAACATTTTTCTAATAGGAGTTACCAAAACAAAGAGTAGGTTGCAGGGAAGAATATACTCAGAGAGAAAGAGAGAGAAATAAATTTCCCAAATTAGAAGAAAGACAGTAGTTCTCATATTGAATAAACTACATATGAAAGAGAATGAACTGAAAAAAAAATCTATAAGTGAAATTTCAGAACATCCTGAAGGCCAGCAAATTAGCCAGAATAGAAGGAGAATCAGATGGACATCAGCGCATTAGATGCTGATGGGAAAATCATTTCAAGTAGAATTCTCTATACAGCGAAAGTGCATCATCATTTAAGAGTCAGAAGAAAGTAAAACCATTTTTGTTAATTCAAGGATTTCGAATGTTTATCACCCACTTTATTGAAAAAAGGTTCCAAAAAAAATAAAAAAATGTATCCAAAAGAAAGACAGGGGATCCAAATAGCAAAAGAAAAAGTAAGGTTCAGTTTAAATTAAGTACTGATGTTGAAAAATAATAAACTGGAATTAAATTAAAATACAAATTTAAATAGTAAATTTAAAAGTTAAAACTTATTTTAAAGTAAGTGCAAATGGTTAAGAAAATAAACTGGAACAAAAATCTCAGGTGATATAACACAGAACATGGTGAGGAGGGTATAACCTGAGGAAGGGAAGGGTATATAAGATTCTTGCCTTGTATAGAGGAAAATGCTAGAAGACTTGTTTAACAATAAACAACTTAGTCTAATAGAGATGTAAAAAATGTCATGTCAACAGAGAAAACACAATCTTTAAAAATATGTACAGATAACTATAAAAATTAACCTTTTGTTGGGTCATAAAAAAATAATGAATCACTTCTCAAGAAAAATAATCACAAATTACTAGAGGCCCGGTGCATGACATTCGTGCACTGGGGGGGATGGGGGTCCCTCAGCCCAAACTGCATCCTCTCCAATCTGGGAGCCCTCAGGGGAGCCCTTTCCAATCCAGGAGTTTCTATCTGTCTTTGCAATCATATGAGCGAATTGTCTGAGACCCAAACTCAGTTTGGTTTGTTGCTCACAGAATAACAGAGGCTTTTTGTTTTCTTTGCTTCATTGGTGGAGATTTCCTGGAAGTTTTAGGATATCTTCCCTTTCATTTTTTCTAGACACTCTGATTTTACTTATGCCTCTCCCTTTGCTTTCCCTCCATCCCCCACCGCAACAGTAACTTGCTCCAGGCTCACTTTGCTTTAGTGTCTAGGAGATCCATCTGCCACCAGAACTATGATTCCCAGCATTCCTGGTGCTCTCCACGCTCCAGGCTTCCACTTCCAGTCCTGGAGCTGCCACCAGAACTACTATTCCCAGAATTCCTGGTGCTCCCCATGTTCTTGGTTTCCCTTCTTGCTCTGTCTCTGTCCCATGGCCTCTGACTCTGCCAAGTCTTCCAAGCCGAAAGCTCTCCCTCTCTGCTCTCCATCTGGTGGCTTGGGGAGACAAGTTACCCAAGCTGCTCCACTCTCTGCCAGCTCTCCTGCTTTGCTCTCTGCCCAGCGGCTTGGGGGAGGAACCAAGGGAGCCACGTCCCCCCAAGCCACCGGCTCTCCCACTCTGCTCTCCATCCAGCGCCTGTGTATGCAAATTAACCCGCCATCTTTGTCCAGTTAATTTGCATACTCATTCCTGATTGGCTGGTGATCGTAGTGGAGGGACAGTCAATTTACATATATCTCTTTTATTATATAGGATATTCACTAAACAGACTAAAGTGAAACTCAAAATTAAAACAGAAGTATTAGCAAACATTTTCTAAATTCTCAAAATTTTAATCACTTTTCTGAAACCTGGGCTTGAAGATGGAATCAAAATGGAAATTTTCAGCTATTTAGAAATGAGGATAATGGAAATATTACCTATAGATATAAAAAAAAGAAAAAAAACTTTATGGTGCAAAACTCTGTGGTCTTGATTGTCAATTTGTTGAAGTATAGATCTAGAACTGTTTTCTGAAGAAGAAAATAAAAAACAAAAATGTCTCAATTCTATTCATGGATGCAGCCTTAGCACCCTTATCCATTGCCATGGACAGTCTTCAGCCTAAGGACAGGCTCTAGTTAACAAATCTGAACTTTCTTAGCCATAACCTTGGCTCATGTAATTCTCAAAGTGTGCAGGCTTGCTCATAATCAGAAATATTGGATGTGTGAATTGCAAACACATGTTGAGAATAACACCTATCTTGTACTCACTGGCATCAAATTCTTACTCAAATCTCTGATTTAAGAAATAAGTCTATGGCCATACCACCCTGAACATGCCCAATCTAGTCTGATTTAAGACATAAAAATTTATGGAGTATGGCCTGGAGGGAGTATCTAGAACATATAGTTCTAGATACTCCCTCCAAACATAAAATATGTACATATCTGGATTTTTTTATTCTATAGTACCTTGATGATATATATTTTGATATCAGAGCATGTAACTATATTGGAATATTGGGCATAATTCTCTTAAATTTCAGAATGATAAACAGATATGCTTTACCTTAACAAATGTGGTGGTTTTTTTTTTAATCATACAGACAGTGTAAAATTCAAAATTGGTTTTTCTCTCTGGGTTACCTAGACATTTAAAGCCAAATTTGTGACAAACTCTAGCAAATGCATGGATCCCCATGGCATGTATTTACCTCTTGGTTCTATTTTATTTTTTATCTCCTCTTTTTTCTTTGCCATGCTTTTGTGACTCATTTTCTTCTGTTAGATTCTATGCAATTTTAAGATATTGCAAACCCTTTTTAGAACAATGCAGGGTATAAATAAATTTTGAAAATAAAAAACTTTGGTGTGGTTAACACAATTTATTAACACAATGCATCTCCCTACACAGCTGTAGTCCTCAGTTTTTCTGATGTTATGTGGATGATAAATATGAAAACTCACAATTATACTGAATTTATAATTAAGTGAGGCAGGTATATAAACGATAGCACTTGCTTTATTCTTCAAAGCTTGAGTGACACAAAACCAAGAAATTGGCAGGATAACTGGTTAGTATATAAGGCTTACAATATTGCCATCATCACATAGCCATCAGTTTAGGAGAAAATCCAGCAAAAATACAGGATTATTCAGACTATGTGTACTGAATGATAAGAGGCAGTGGCCAGATAATGAGGTATTTGCTGCTTTAATTCCCAACTGCAGAAGCTGTTTCTGGCTGCTAAGTGGATTGGGCATAGGGTTGGGGTGGAAAGATGGGAAACGATTTTCTTGAGAGAGTGAAAGGAGGGATATTTTTGGAGTCTTCAACATACACTACACACTACAGCCACTGTTCAATGACTGAACCAGCCCCATAGCTCCCTCTAGTGGTGTTAACGCTCGTCACAATCCTATATGCCCAGTAAAGGGACCATCCTATTTTCCTTCCTTGTGAACCTACCAAAATAGCAGGATGCCCTTCTATCTATAGTTTAAATTTTTAATTGCCTTCAGTATTTTTTAAAGCAAACACATAGAAGGCTTTCCAGCTGTCAGGTACTATTCTAAGAATCTTACAAATATTAATTGGCTTAATTATCATAACAATCTGGTGAAATGGGTGCTATCATTTCTCTCTCTCTCTCTCTCTCTCTCTCTCTCTCTCTCTCTCTCTCTTACAGATGGGGAAGATGAGCCACAGAACTTTCCAAAGGTTACTCAGGTATTCTATATGGTTCCCAGAACAGTATTGTGAATTAGCAGGAGTAAGGGAACACGCATATGCATTAAACCCAAATTTAGTGAAGTAACACACAAAAAGTAAAAGATGGAGAGTGGTGAGAGCCCATCTAATTGGGGAATCTGGGAATCTGAACTCAAGTTCGCTCTTTGCTGGTGACTAGCTGTGTAGATGGGGTGGTCACAAACTCAGTGGGCCATGAAAGAACTAAAATAAACCTCTGTAGCCCATTCTAGCCTTACCTGCCTGTGTTCTATACTTAAAACATGCTCCAAGTAATGGATGTTTCTACAGGTGACCGAACATCATACGCCAGCACTCACAAGCAGGATACTTACGACAACCCTGGTATATATTTCTTCAGCAAAGTCCAAATTCTTGAACTTGAGTTCTGTAGGAAACGTGTACTTGGTCAGCCACTGCAGAAGCGGCAGGTCAACGTTACTCCCAGCAAAGGAATACTGAGCGGCATGGATGTGTGTATCAACCAGCCCAGGCATGAAGAACTCACTGGAAATTAAGATGAGAGAAAAAGAATTTAATAGCATCTGTCGTCGTTTTCCATATGTTTACATCTTGTTTTCTCTTGGCCATGATTGAACTGTTCATCCCACATCCAGTTAGAGCTGATGCAAACAGACGACTAAATTCATCTAGTACTAGTATATAGAGATCAAGATAGAAAAATGAAGCTCTGCTAGGAGAGAGATAGCTCCCCAGTTGGAATGACTGGTGTGAGGTTAATCACAGATGATGAAGGGAGGAAGAAGCTGAGGAGAGGGCCATGAACACAAAGGACAGGTGTCAGAGAAACTGCTGGACAGATGGGGAGCTTGCTTTGAAAATATTTGGTAGTGAATGTTGGGATGGTAATGTAGGGGAGGAGCGAGAAAGCCACATTTTGTTTTCCATTAGGAGAAGCCCAAGCATGCTCTGAAGATAGCAGAGATAAAAGAAGTAAAGGAGATAATTCAGGGTGCAAAGTCTTCCGAGGCAACGGAACACCAGCGACTTATTGCATCAGAAATGTGATTTTTATCCAGAAAAGCTAACAATCCTTTTTAGGAAACAGAAAGCATTGTGGAAGGCTTAGTAATAGAAACATTCACATAATCAAGGTCTAGTCCAGGACTTATATTACAGATAGTAGCACGTGCTAGAGTGGGGTGTGTGAGATTAGAGGTCACAGAGCCCCAAAGGAAGCTCAGAGATGCCAAGGTCATGTTTGGACGTGTAGATCATTAGTGGTCCAGCCAGGATTAGAACACAGTTCTCCACCCCAGCCCTTACTAACAGCTAAATCATAGCCATCAAAAGTCAAGCTGCAAAAAGAAGACATATGTAAAACTTTAGAATAAATAAATAAATAAATAAATAAATAAATAAATAAATAAAAATAAGGCAAGCTGCAGGCGAAGCAGAGATGGGGCTTTGAAGGAAGCAGAAAAGGTGAAAAGCTCTCCTTTCTTCTTTCCTCTTTTCACTTGATTTAATTACTATCACAATTCCCTTAGAAAATCTCGACTTCCACCAGAAAAGAACATTAATTTCATATTTCAAACCTGTGGTGCAGGCCAGGCTGCCGCAAAACCGAAGGGAAAAGAACAATGTGTGCCCTACATATGCTTATTGAAACATCCACCTGTCTTCTAACCAAGTGGAAAACCTTAATAAAAGCTTTAGAATTAAAATATATGACTGACTATGTATAAAGGCCAAGTTACTCAATCTCTTTGAACGACATTGTTAACCTGCTCTGGGAGCACAGGGCTGTTTGAAAACCACTCTTTTCTTGCACAAAAGAAATACAATGACATGAAACCAACAGCATCCTGTCTTTATTTAAACGTTTGGTTCATCACAGATTTTTTTGAATTAATTTTGATTTTTTTAAAAAATTGCATTAAGCTGTTATTTATGTTGATTACGGAGTTTTTGCCCACCCCACCCCCCATAAATTCTGTGCCCCAGGTAAGTGCCTCACTTGTCTTACCCTAATCTTGGCCCTGCCAACCCCTTTATGGCCACAATATCTGAACCACTCCTAGCAAGACACTGCTCAGAGTTGCAATTTTCATTAAAAAAATAAATAAATAAACATTGTGCTGAGAGAGACCTATACTGGTAGATACACAGAATCTATGAAACAGAAGATCAGAGACAGCATTTTCTGTGGTATTTCAATACTGACTTAAAGAAATTCAAACGCATATACCTTATGTGTTTAATATGTAAATTACTTTGCATTTTATATTTGACTAGTGGCCCGGTGCATGAAATTTGTGCACTGGGGGGCGGGGGGGAGCAGATTCCTCAGCCCAGCCTGCACCCTCTCTAATCTGGAACCCCTCAGGGGATGTCCGACTGCTGGTTTAGGCAGTCAGACATCCCTCTTGCAATCTGGGACCGCTGGCTCCTAACTGCTCACCTGCCTGCCTGCCTGAAAGCCCCTAACCACTCTGCCTGCCGACCTGCTTGCCCCCAACTGCAACCCCTGCCAGCCTGATCGCCCCC